ACACACACACACACACACACACACACACACACACACACACACACACACACACCCCCACAAAAGGGAACATAACCTACTATTGTAGAAGGCAGCAGCAGAAGCCCTTTGTCCGCCATCAGAACAATGTGTCAGAGAACCCAATTCACTTGCCATCTGGTCCTCTTGACCTTTGTTCTTTCTCTCCATGACCACCTTGTTTGACCAAGCACCCACCTTCCCAGAGACTTAGCCTTTCTAACCCAGGGGCCTGGAATGTCTGGTCCCAGTCACACTAGGCACAGGACCAGTGACTGCAAGGGAGGCTGTGGCTGCAGAATGAGGCAGATCACTAGAGGCATCCTTGATCAAGATGGAAAGTTGGGTGTTTCCTGATGGTCAATGGAGCCAGAATAGAAATCCCAAGGAGGGGAACAGCATAGATTTGCTTTTGGCCTGATGGTCTTGACTGCAGTGTTTATTTAGGCTGAAGGGGAGGCAGGAGGCAGGGGGTCTTACCCAGGAGCTATGAGAATACTAGTGTGAGGGTGATGGAAACAGAATTGAAGACAGATCTTCCTGGATGGAGGGGAAACTTCAGCTAGAATCTGTGTGACCAGCTGCCCACTGAGAATGGGCTAAGGTATATCTTATCAGACACTGGCCTGATCTCCCACAAGGCAAGCCTAGGGGCCAGAAAGGTGACAAGGCAGATTTGAGTAGTTCCCCATGACAACTTCAAGCAGGGGAATTCTGTAGAATATTGGATCTAGAAGTCTGAAACTCAAAGCACTTGGGGTTAGAAAAATATGGTGACTGTCAGAAAGAGAGTCAACGAAGCCATTTACATTTACTTCCACATGGGAATAAGCAAAAAGACTTGGCCAGAGGAGAAGGGAGGACCCAAACAGAAACCTGGCACTTCCACATACTGCTTCCTCTTCCTTCTGGAGGACCTCTTCCCTCTCCTTTGGCCAAGACCTTCACATGCCTGGAACTAGTTTCAGAGCAGTTCTGTGACTTGCCTAGTGTTTGTAAGCAGCAGCCTAAAACATGTTTTTTGTTGGCCTTATAAATTAAAAGCTGATGGACACTCTGCCCGATTCCCCATTTTATCCCTGTGCCCTTTGATTTGAGTTATCTTCTGTGCAGTCCCTTTGTAATCCTTGGGCTTTTGGAAGAATAGGATTCACCAATAAGTATCCTGTGACAGAAGCCAAACTGCACCTCAAACAGACAATATCATCTTCTTGTTATCTGAAAGGAAACAGCTCAAAACTCAAGAGACCATTTGTTAGGTAGCTGGTTCCTGTTCTGTTCTAGTGGTGAAATGATAAATTAATTCTCTAGAACTCCTCCAGAGACAAGAGACTGAACTGATGGCCAACCAGGCCATACTGGTGACTTGGGCCTATTTACTCTACATACCTTTCTTATCCCTTCTCTCAGTTCTCCCTATTTAACCTAAGTCAATACCTGGACTCCTGAAGATGGCAGAAATATTGAGTGCTGTCCTCCCATCTCCTTCCTGCCTTCCACTATGTCTTTTTTTTTTTTTTTTGCATTTGAGGGTGAGTCGCCAGACCTATTGTGGGACTCTTGGACTTTGGGCCTGGAGCCTAAAAACCCGGTTTCAATTTTTTTTTTTCTTCTTCTATTCAAGAGCCTGGCAAACAGACTGAGCTCAGCATTGTAAGGTCCATTCCTGGACAGCGAACAGACCTCGCCCAGTACCTGCGTTACCTAGGCAACTGGGACATCTGGAAGAGGTCACATCTGCATCTGCTGAGGTCACATCTTAATCTGATGTGGCCACACCTTTCTCCCACCTGATTCCACTTCCCTTTACCTGGACACACCTTTCCCTGCCCCCTACCCTATAAAAGGCCTAACCTGGGGCCAGATGCTCTCTTTTGCCAGCAGCGTGGAGTGCCAATCTTGCCTGGTCCCAGCAGGTCTACTGAATAAACCTACCCCTTACCTGAATACCACGTGAGCGTGTGGTGTTGTTCTTACTCGGCCACCTCTTTTTAAAAACTTAACATAAATGGTGCCATGACTCGGATTCCAACCGAGGTGCTGCTGTTCTTACTCGGCTATTTCTTTTAAAAAACTTAACAAGCATGTGGTGGCTGAGCATTGCAGAACAATCAGGAAAATTCAAAACAGTCAGGAAGTATCCGTTGCTTACCAGTGTTGACATAAGGGGATTGGGCTCCAGTGTTCCCTTGTCTTTTGGGATTGAGCAGGGCACTTCCAAGGTGCCCAAATTGCAATCCAGGTTGCCGTTTGTCAGGTACAGAGTGAGCTGTGTCAGAGCCAACTGGTCACTGTAAGTGAGGCTGAGGTCTGTTGCCCATAACTGATTAAAAAAAGGAAGTGAGGACATGATTAGGAAGCAGACAAGAAAAAGAAATCCCTTTGCACCCCCCACACCTCAACCAGACAAAACCACAACAAGGCCAAGCCAAACCAACAGCTTTGGGACTTTATGGAGTGGATATCATTGCTTCTGCTTTTGCTTGTTCAGCTGAAGGATGAAGCCTGGTTTTAATCAGAACATTTAAGGTTCAGGAAATGAACACACAAACCAATGCCTGTCTAAAAGACCCTTCCTGTAGGATCCCAGATTGCTGTAGCCCATTCTGCCTTTCACGGAAAGGTCATCGCCCCTGTTTCCTAATAGCAGTTAGGGTTTCCATCCAAGAGGGGTAAGTGAAGGAAAGAAGGGGGAACTGTTAGATGGGGGGAGGGGGAAGTGGTAGACAGTACAGGTGACAGATATGCGTCTCACCCGACGTGGAGCTTCTGCTTCCCATAGTGTCTGGGGCTCCTGCTCAATTACTTCTTCTTCTTACAATATGAGCTCCCACACAAATGCTTCTTGTTTTTGTTTCTGGTTTTTTATTTTTGTCGGTTGTGGGGCTTGAACTCTGGGCCTGGGCGCTGTCCCTCAGCTCTTCAGTACAAGGCTAGGGCTCTACCTCTTGAGCCACAGTGCCATTTTTAGTTTTCTAGTGGTTTATTGGAGCTAAGAGTCTCACGGACTTTCTTGCCCAGGCTGGCTTTGAACCTCGATCCTCAGATCTCCTGAGTAGCTAGGATGACAAGTGTGAGCCGCTGGTGCCTGGCTTCAAAATGTTTCTTGTTTGCATAATGCCCTGGGTGCCCACTCAACCAATGGAAAGAGCTGGGGTGGTGCATGTGTGAGCCATCAAGCAATCAGTGCAAAGGGGAGGGGCTATGCGTGGAGCCTGGACTATAAAAACCACTCTCTGGAGGACTCCATTGGGCTCCTCTTTGGGGCCCCTCTCCAGATGGTCGGTCTTAACTACTTATTTTCACAGTTTTCCTTTCACTTTCAAATAGACTTATTTTTTAAAAAAAATAATAGGTTAAAAAATTTAACAGAGATGTTGCCTCTTGAAAGGTTCATGTTGACTTCGATTTTTCTGCTGGTGATTTGTCATTTCAGAGGTATCAGTGCATTGGCTTCTACTGAGAAAATGAGACAGGACAGGAGCTTCAGAGGGTGGGGAACTAGTGAAAATGAATAAGGTAGTTTGTCTTGACTTGGAAAAAAGCAATGCTGGTCTCTCCGGGAATCTCAATATGACACTTAAGGGAAATATACCCTTGGCCTGTAAGTCTTAGCTTGCTAGGCAAGTACAGGATTTCACTTTACTACTAACATGTCACAGCACACTTAGCTATCAGTCAGTGAGAATGCTCTGTTACAGGTTAATTAGAAAAACACTATGATGCAATAAAAATTAAAAGTGCTTAAAAGAATAGATGTTGCTAAGTACCAGTGGCCTACAGCTGTAATCCTAGCTATTCAGAAGGCTGATATTGGAGGATTTGCAGTTCAAAACCAATCTGGGCAGGAAAGTCCACGAGACTCTTAACTCCAATTAACCTCCAAAAAGCCAAAAGAGGAGCTGTGGCTCAAGTAGTAGAGCACTAGCCTTGAGCTGAAAGCTCAGGAACAGGGACCAGGCCCTGAGTCCAAGCCCCAGGACCAGTAAACACACAGAAAAATAAATGTTAGTTATACATTATCCACTTCTGGGTACTGCGTGATGTCCACTATTTTCTCTGACAAATATTTACTGAACAGCTACAATGTATTAAATTGGCAACAATAAAGGTAGATCGTGAGCTATCTCTTCTTTCTCTTATGCTGGATTGACTTTAGTTGTCTTTGTCATGTTCTACCTCTACACTGAGTACAGAAACACCCCTAGAATCCTCCTAGGCTCAATGCTAAAGACATGCCACTGCTAGTCCTAGAGAGTCAAAGGTAATTGATGAAGCCAGATACATGTGTATTCAGCTGATAATACGGTAATATGTAATGTAACAGTGAGATGGAGGGAAACAACTACCATGTAATATGTAATCTCACAGTAGGATGGAAGGAAACACGGCTGAAGCAGAAAGGACAGGCTGAATTTGCCTATTGAGATCAGGGCTACCTCCCGAAGGTGACATTTCTGAGCTTTAAGCAAGCAGTCAGACCACAACTGGATCCGAGGTATTAAGAACCTCCGATAAGTCAAGTGCTTCACAAACATCTCTCACAGTTGTAACCACCTCAAAACCCACAGCCCACATTACAGAATTAAGGTGAGCACAAGGCCCAGGGATTTGAACCCAACTCTGCCTGGCTCCAAGTCCATCTTCCAGCTCCTGCCAGAGAGGCTGACACTGATCTTCTAGTAATGCCCTGGTCAAATTAGAAGCTAAAGTTGCAGTGGATCAGAACATGCTCTTGTTTCATATAATCCATGCCCTGGAAATGTCTTGTGGAGAAAACATGAAGTATTGTATTTCTGGAGTGTGCTGTAATTAGCAGTAATGCCTTTTCACTGTAGGAAGTTGGAAACGAACACATTTTCATGAAGACTTGATTGAATTTTTTTTTCTTTCTAAGAAGGTCTACAAGTGCCCCACTCACCAACTCGCTATGTTAAAATACATAATGCATCTGCCTTAGAGTGGACTGTCTCCGACAAATCGAG